CATCCCAATTTACCATAGATACGAACAGGAATGTGGCCTTAACACAATTACACGAAAGGTAAATAACTAGGGAGATAGACCACAATTAGAACGCCGTGGTGTTTGAACTGGACATTGACGTCATACTTTCTGAAGTGGATGGCAAATTTTGAATGCGGTGTGCATGATTATATTGTCTGAAGTCTGGGAGCAAATCTTTGATTTGTTAAATCGGCATGACCTGTAAATGTACATATTTCTTTTACACTCCTCCATTTAAAGCATATTCACCCTTTCGATTGTCTTCTGCTTTTCCAATCTCATCTCATCCTTTCCTTCATTTATCACCGTTCCTCTTCCCCTTCTTTTTCTTCTTCTTCCTTTGCTCATGTCTGTCTACTCCTTTCCGGATTCATTCTCATTACTCTCGTCATTATTCTTCTTCCTCTCTTCTTATTCGTCTCCTCCTTCTTCATCTTCTTCTTCCATTTCTTCTTCTACTTCTTCTTCTTCTTCTTCATCTTCTTCTTCTTCTTCTATTTCTTCTTCTTCTTCTTCTTCTCCTTCTTCTTCCTTCTTCTCCATATTCGTCTGTCTTCTTCTTCTTCTTCTTCTTCTTCTTCTTCTTCATCTTCTTCTTCCATTTCTTCTTTTACTTTTTCTTCATCTTCTTCTTCGTCTTCTTCTTCTTCTTCTTCTTCTTCTTCTTCTTCTTCTCCTTCTTCTTCTCCTTCTTCTCCATATTCTTCTTCTTCTTCTTCTTCTTCTTCTTCTTCTTCTTCTTCTTCTTCTTCTTCTTCTTCTTCTTCTTCTTCTTCTTCTTCTTCTTCTTCGCCCTTACCTCTAATTATCATATCCCTAATTTTGTGTTTACACTTGCAACGATAAATACCGACTAATATCTGTTATATACTTTTATCTTATATGGACATTTTCGATGAAATGTCTTGCAAATCAAATTTTAACCAACTCGTTATTTCGTAAGAATAAAGAATACTAGATATATCTTCGAATTTTTTTTTTTGGGGGGGGGGGTGGTGGGGGGTTGTTCTCCATTTCCTGTTTATTAATTTTCTACTCTCCACATTTTAGACTAAACCTGCATCTCCTTCCACTACATTCACCTTTCCTCTAAAACAAATTATTTAATGTACATTGCAAACATTTTCAAAGTAGCACCGCCCATGGAATGAACTTTGGCATACCACAAGTCACGTGATGGATGGGCGTGGCATCTTCTCCTCAATGTGACGTCAAAAACATATGAAGGTGACCGCTGAACCATTTCTCAACACACGACTTCGAGAGGTTTTTACGGAACGCGTTTTTATTGGTTTCATTTTCATTCCGTTCCATATTTCAAAATTACACAGTTCATTTTCTTCATGACTATTCGTTTTTATATGCATATATACATATATAAAATATTAAAACAGCAGTAACATGAGCAACAATAAAATGCTAGGAAGGGAATCATAATTTTATGAAAATAATTGAGACATCGATGTACAATGTAGTTGAGGTGATGGGAATAACTTGTCCTTCAAATAAAGATATAAAGATCTGTAAACGTTTTATCCCCCGCCCCCCCCCCCCCCCCCCCCCCCCCCCCCCTCCTCTGGGGATATTTTGAATTCTGGGCTTCATTAAATACAATGGGCTTGACATTGGACGAACGATGAAGAGAAACTGGGCGGGGAGAAGGCCTATGGAGAGAGAGAGAGAGAGAGAGAGAGAGAGAGAGAGAGAGAGAGAGAGAGAGAGAGAGAGAGAGAGAGAGAGAGAGAGAGAGAGAGAGAGAGAGAGAGAGAGAGAGAGAGAGACGGAGAGAGAGAGAGAGAGAGAGAGAGAAAGGGAGAGATGAGCAAGTAACGAGGGTAATACATAAAAACGGGAATAGTGCAAAAATTGTCATAGATCTAACTAAATTATAATTTTATTATAAGGCGGTAAAGGTTTCCAAAACTGCAATCATTTAAGAACATCGACACCTTTTGTGACGCATAATCTTTATCAAACATTACTGGTTACTTATTTTTCCGAGACCCGTAAAAATGGAAGTAAACTTGCTTTTTGAACTTTGTTCCCGGCTTGCTGGAAGTCTTGCCGGCTGTTTTGACAACGGAAGTGTATCTCAGGACTCGGCACATGTTGACACGTCTAAGTTTGGACAGCGTTATGAGAGTACTTTATATGAAATAAATGACGTTAATAAAATTTCGTTCAAAGGTATTTTGACCAGGGCGATATACGAAGCCACGGTGCTATCTTAGTCACATTAGTCGTATGAGGCAAAGGGGTTGGTGGTGGTGGGGGGGGGGGGGGCTTGGTTCTGCAGCCCTCAAGATTTTGGAAGGCCCCAATTGAATTCGGGAAACATAATCAACTACATGTAGGTAGGAAGTGACAGTGGAGTCTTGCAATTCATTAAACAGATGGAGGAGGAGGAGGAAATGAAATTATTTTTTTTGTTATATTGAAACTTTGCAGATATCTTTACAATAATGGATCATCCATGGAACTTAAGTGATAATATTTATCAAAATCAAAATAATATAATTAGCCTGAAAGGCGCCATTTCACGAGGAAGAGATTCTATAACAACATTTTAGAACCGAGTAAGGACAATTTGGTGACTGATTAAAAAAATTAAACCAAAACGTGATTTACACCAAACCTCTTTAATACGAGCATTTGAATGTTTATTGCATGATTATTTATTTCAACGAACACAAATTGATGTTCTGGTGGCTTCCTTGAACTACCATCTTAACTTTCATGACCTCTACGATGTCAGGATGTTTAATCATGATAAATAATTTCATATCTGTCTATAATTACGTAGTACAATAACCGCAAACTTCTTGTTTGTATTATCATGACAACTGCCGCCGACATCGCGAATTTCTTGAAATATCATTGGAAAAGCCGGTGATTTTTGTTTGCAGTCTCACTTTCCGTCGTTCGTTTATCACTGACCAAATTTATTATATTGATTAAACATTTATTATATGCATTGTCATCAGGGTTTAGAAGGTGGATTTTTTAAAGGAGGTATTCGAGGAAAAGAAAAGGAAAGACGGAAGAAGATGGGGGTCAAAGTAAGGGAAAGAGAGAGAGAGAGAGAGAGAGAGAGAGAGAGAGAGAAGAGAGACGGAGAGGAGAAGGGGGAGGGAGACGTGGTGAGGAAGGGAAAGCATGCCATAGCAAGGGATAGGCCTATGTGTCAAAACATAGTCCACACTTAGCTGTAAATATTTTGTAAAATGTACCATTTTCTTCAAGCTCCATCGACAGACGACATTTTATAAAAACCAAGGAAGAGACGAGTAGATCCATGGTACAAAGTAGGTCCATGGTACAACCTACCAGACATAAATCATGAAAACACCAATGAATTACCAGCTGACAACACATACATGAGCAATTAACAAACAAAACACGAGCAGACAGATGCCAATCAACGACTTACATCTCCAGATCAAATACAAAAGCGGAAATGTCCAATGTAAAGAAGAAAAGATAAATTTATTTTGTCAAGACATTAAAATCTATGTGACACCCTGATTATAGGCGAAGAGGAGCGTGTTGGTCAAGTATTGTTTTTTTTAATACACCTGTTTTTGTCTTTCGGTTCAGGCAATCATATCACCCATAATCTAAAACTTAAAGGTATATAATTATGCCTGTGACTCAACTAATAACAAAGGTCATGACTTTATTTATTTTAAACAATCAAGTGGTAAAACACGAATTTATTAAAAAGTTTACATATTTTGTGAATTCTGCTAAGGAAACAAGAACTGGGAATGTATGAAAGGAGTGCAGGAGTAACATTTTTTCCTTCCGATTGTCAATTAAAAAAAACTTATCTTTCTGCGTAGCATCATTTTTTTTTGAGGGGGGGGGGGGTAAGCTATCTGCAATCCAACGATTACAAGACGACCACGTCCCCCCCCCCCCACGAAACAAAGAGAGAGAGAGAGAGAGAGAGAGAGATTAAAATGGCGTTTTGCAAACCAGGGGTTTAATAGTTCATAGGCATGCACAATTATTTACATCTTATATCTTATTTTGAGTGGGGGGGGGGGGGGTAAACTATCTGCAATCCAACGATTACAAGACGACCACGCCCCCCCCCACGAAACAAAGAGAGAGAGAGAGAGAGAGAGAGAGAGATTAAAATGGCGTTTTGCAAACCAGGGGTTTAATAGTTCATAGGCATGCACAATTATTTACATCTTATATCTTATTTTGAGTGGGGGGGGGGGGGGGTGCCATCACGTTTTATGGCTCAGCGAAAGGGATTATGGACTTTGAAAACATAAGGGAACAAAAAACAAACTGAATGACAGCATTGGGTACCTCCGCAAATTATAGGCAAATTATTTTCTGACAGGGGCGCAATCCTTGGAACTGTTTCAGGTATTTTGTGGTACTTTTTCGAGTCACATGTGTAGGTTTATTACAAAAAATATTGTCTAATTATGTGAACAACAATCATGCCTTGTAAGTATCATGGACCTAAGATAAAATCCATACTTGTACGGAAATGGTAGGAGATGGATTCTTCAGAGGAGCGATTCGACCTTTAATGCTGTTGAAGCACTGAAACTCGTGCGGGGGCTTCCATAAAGTCCTTTTATACAATTTGTTTGCCGAAAAGATTTACAACTCGATTATGCGCAATTAGACATACAGCCTTACTCAATATGTTGTTCTAACCCCTTGTAAAATAGCAATTATGTCTGGTTCTCGATATCACGAGCAGGAGAGATGGCCCTAACATTTTAAAGGTAAAACATGTATATAAAAGATGTTAGAATCCCACATCAATGTGTTTATGTTTCTCCGTTACTACGTAGCAACTATACTCAAGTGTATTGATGACATCACGTTTAGTTCATTCACAAAAATTAGCCCAAATAAAATATTTTTGTTGCAGAAACCGCTGTGTGCTCATTGGCTGAAATCATTGCGCACGCGCCAAGGACTTGTACACACTACAGCACCAGCGAGTGTCGAGTGCATACCTCGATGTTCAGCGGAATATGAAATTGTATGACCGCCCACGTCCAGGCGAGAATACAGGTAGTCAGCCGTGCTGAACTCGCCTAGCTCAACTCATTCTAGCTAGCTACTGGGAACTATTGACAAGTATCACAAACCGTCTGCGGTCTTTCATCCACACAGACGGGGTTAAATACCACGCCATGCTTACTTCGCCTCATGTCATCTAACAGGTGTAAATGGTCGAAAACTCACATTGTTGGACACAACCAGGTTTAGAACCAGGTCGCGATTTTACATGGATATTTCTTCTCCTCGACATTGCTTTGGATTTGATAATACATTAGTTGAGGACGCTTAATTTCTTCATGCACCCACAGCAGAGCAGCAGTAGTAGCATGGCCGAGACTGGCGGCATCTTACCAGACTTGTCGCTGTTCGGGAACGATGGTCTTCTCAACGAACTGGAGAAGTCTTCGACCTGCAGCGATTCGGACTTCGTGCTTCCAGCCAGTCCCTTCCTGGAGAACGGCTGGCAGGATCAAGAGGTATGCGATGCTTGCTCAATGTATCATGTGGTTTTGTTGTGTTTGCAAAGAGGTAAAGCCAAGTTTCGGTATGGTGTTCTTAATTTTGTTTTGCGGGGGTGGGCGTTGTCGCGTGAAAGGAGCCACAAAGTCACCCATAACTCCCCGCATATAACGGCATCCAATTCTTGCCTGGAATGTTATGACATCTGATCTGGGCGGTGAGCATGCATGCCAAATTAGCATATACCTAAGTTACAAGATGTACATTATTGGCTGACTTTACCCGTTTACCTGTTTACAATTACACATTCATCGCATATAAATTATTTATAAAGATGGTATGGCCCAGATCATTCAGTTATTTGACAGTATAGTCTAGTTTCGGGGAATAACTTGATCTTTACAATCATGACAATTATAATCATGAATATGTACGCTAAATATGTTATGGAAGGTGATGATTTTTCATTTGAATATGTTAGCATTTATATACGGATTGACTTTCATTGAAATAGACATCTAGAGGACCGATTCCAAGTTTTTGGGCTGCCCGTCTGCCCCAAATTAAACATTTTATGAGCCCCGCCCCGCGATGTTCTCTCTCTCTCTCTCTCTCTCTCTTTCTTACTTTCTCTCTCTCCTTGTATCTTTCTATCTCTTTCCATCTCTCTAGCTCTCACGTCTCATTCTCATGTGATTTGTCCCTTACTTTTCCTCTTGCTCTCCAGCAGGTCGAGTCCACATTTCTGCTCTATGTACATTGCTCTTTTATCACGTTTTTAATGTCTTGTTTTCGTGTTGCCTTGTGCCCCCAAACATGCCAAATGCCCTCTACTGTCTTCATTATTTTATTTGTCTTTACTTACGAATCGGACAATCAATAGTTTAGTGTTTTTTTAGTTTGCCAGCAGTTTGCCTTACCATGCATAGTCACTGTAAATTATCTAGAGATTTGAATGTAATTCCTCAGTAAAATTTAAAGAGTTAGTTCTCTAGCAAGTCTAGTGGTATATTACTAGGCGAATTTACATTGCTGATCCAGCATGTTCATTGCCTCGAGAAAATATGTTATTGTTTCTTAAAGTTTACTCAACCTTTGCGGATTTGTAAAGATGACACGGACTTGTTCGTATCATTTCATTCTTTCTGCATTTTCCTTTTCTCCATCGGCCTTGCCATCGCTTAATACATCCTCCCCATTCCTCCTTTTTGTAATTAAAAATTATATTGAGAATCGGTGATCCGGGCCACCTCTTGTCAAACAAGTATGAGTTTGATAACAAAAGTGAGCTTGTTTCATAAACCTTTTTTAAGTGATGTTTACACGCGAATATATCATGTTCAGCTTAAACGTTATGTACAAAGTTCCGTATGGGTTGTGTTGTATTGTCAAAGCTTACGCAGGCATGCATGCACGCTAAGGGTCCCCAAAAGTGCAAAACGCACATGTCCTATTCTGTGAATTGATATTAATAAATCAGCCACAAGTTTCTTCATTTATTTATTCGTTTTATTTAAACAGGGTAACTTTCTCAGTATTAATACTGTTTTTCTGAGAGGCCCTGTAACCTGAGTTTAAGTTATGTTTACACGCGAATATATCCTGTTCAGCTTAAACGTTATGTACAAAGTTCCGTATGGGTTGTGTTTTATTGTCAAAGCTTACGCATGCATGCATGCACGCTAAGGGTCCCCAAAAGTGCAAAACGGACATGTCGGATTCTGTGAATAGATATTAATAAATCAGCCACAATTTTTCTTCATTTATTTATTCGTTTTATTTAAACAGGGTAACTTTCTCAGTATTAATACTGTTTTTCTGAGAGGCCCTGTACACAAAAAAGGATTACAAATACATGAAAAAACAAACAATGTTAAAAGACGTATACATGATTTTATATATCTCAAGTTCTATGACAAATGATAATTTGCAATACATTACTTTGGTATTCAAAAGCTTCTCTTTTCCATGTTAATTAAATCTTTATTTCTCTTTCTCAAATTAAAAAGAAAAGACAAATACAAATGCATTATTAAGATCTTAAAAAACACGGGAGATGGCTCATTTCAGATGGTTTTACAAGATGTAACTGTTATTCCATGCCCTCAATTTGTTTGCAACCACAAAGCCACTGTAAAACAAAATGGCTTGAAAAATGTTGATACATGTAGGCCTATATGAAATTAAAACGTCATGCCGTATATTGCTGTTGGTTTGCACTTCGTGTTGTCATGGACCATGTGTTTGGATCAATGGTGTTGTAAAGATATTTATAGTCAGTCACTCAACCTTTTTTTGATTGTTCCTAATGACTGTGTTTTGGAGCGGCTTATCATGATTTAGGTAGACATTCAGGCAAATTGATTAAGTTATATTCGCTAAAATGTTTTTAAATCAGTTTAAACCATTATCGTTGTAGTTTTATGATCAGTTAATCACCACCAAATCGACAGAAAGAAAATACATACACTCTTACCAGAACTGTACCTAACTGAACATTATTATACGATTGTGATTACAGCTGATGACATTGAATACTCAGTTAAAAAAAAAATTTTAAAGAATATAATACATAAGTAGTAAATAAAAGAACACACTAATGAAGTAAATAAACCAGTTTTATATATCAATCAACTTCAAATGAAGAATCGTGAATTTTCATCTCTATGAATGTGTAATATCTTTCGTGTTTATTTAAGGACAGGTATAGTATGCGGTTTTTGATTTATTTACTCTTTTGTCAACAAAAAAAAACCGACTCTACAAAAGAACGGCATGTTACACTGACCGTGATAAATGTTTGTATTAAAGTTGCATCCTTTATTATAATGGAAATGCCCTTTAGATAGATACGAAATGCTGTTAAAAATCTGAACCCCATTTCACGGATTGAAAGGAAAGAAAAATTACATCGAAATATGAGGAGAATAGAATAAAAAACCGCTATTGATAATTTATTGTCATCTTTGAATAATAACACAAATCATGAAAGAGAGATCATCCGCCCAGAGATGGGTCACCGCCATTAAACTACTTCGTGCTTGACGCGGTGACGGTCGGGTTCAACCGCCCTTTCATCCACCCCCTTTCATCTATCCCTGCTCTAACACGTTCATATCATGTTTTGGAATGCTATAGATTTGTGGAAAATTGATGTGCCCCGATGTATGTTTCTTGAGAATGTAGATGATAACATTTCACATTTCTACAACTATTAAAGATATTTATCTGCCATATTAAAACAAAATATATTGTCCCAAGACCCAAAACAATCCGTATAGTACTGTCAACGAGGATATATTGTTACACGATTTCGGCAAGTTTGGATCTACAAGGCTCGTCAATGTATGGAGTTCAGAATGAGAATGAATTTCCAAAGAGATATCTCTTTAGTATTTCAAATCTTGAATACATCTCAAAGTATTCCATAAAGACACTAATTCAACCAGTCAACCTTTCATTCTTGAGTTACAAAAAAGAAACAACACTAAATATCATCAAATTTACAAGGGGTTCGAGTAATTTAGTTATTAACTGAATAACACAAGTACGTGGAAAATTGATTTGTACCGATTTATGCATCTTGGGAATCGATATGTATTTCAAAGTTTACATCTAAAAGTATTCCAGTAATTCAACCAGTCCACAAGACTCCATATATCATTCTTGAGTTACGAAAAACACAAAAACATCATCAAATTTACAAGGGTATGAATGATTTAGTTGTCAGCTGTACATAATATTTTTTTCTTTTTTCTTCAAAATCACTGGTTACAAGCGCGTGTGGAACGTACTTCAAAGCCCAAACACATTATGTGGTTTTGTGTAGTCGGGGGAGTTATGGCATGGTTTTAGAGTGGAAAGTTGTAAGTAATACTGCTTCGGTACTATAGATTTATTTAAATACAAATGCAGTGAATTGCAGTGAATTGCCAAACATCAGTTATATTCGTCACTCAAAAACAATATAGGTTAATGAGGTTGTGATTTATTGTGATTTTCAAAAGAGAATTAAGGATTTTTGTTGTTAGAGCAGTCAATATACATGTAATTATGCCCCTCAAAAAGTTCTGCAATTCAAGTTTTAGCGTTGATATCTCTCTTGTCTGTGTATCATCTTACTTGATGTTGGTATCATTGAAAAGCCTGTTTATTTCCCTTTATGATGATGCCCCATTTGTAATGATTATGTAATAATAGAATGTGCAGTTCACCTAAATATGGGGGCCAAGTCAAAAGTAAAATATTGCAAAAAGCATTGGAATAATTAAATAGTAAATAGTGATCTCTTCATTCGTTAATGGATTCTGTTGTCAAGAAATCTCGAAATGCAACACAAAATTATGGGGTTTATACCGTTTATTTCATAATTCATACAAATACTTTAATTGGTGTTGGTGTTAACTACGTTTATCGTAAAATCTTACGTATTTAGAAATCAAATTTTGAATTAGCTAAACAGTCGGAGGACATTAGTATACTGCTTTCAAATCTACACGATCTGTGTTGACTTGCCGCGTGGACCTCTGGAGCGAAAAGCTTACTCACTTTTCGTCATAAATAAATGCTTTCAATTTGTTTTTTTAGTAAATCTTGTCAATCAAGTTATGAAAATGATTTGTGTCGAATAATTAAAGAGCGTTATTAATATGGGCGTAGTCGTTAAAGGTAAAGACCAGTATTGGAGACGCCCCAATTTCAAAAAATGAAATGGAAGCTCTCATTACCAATCACGTGAAAGAATATGTTTTGACTAATACATGATGATAAAAAATTTGCCGGGAAACCGCCTACTAATTCATATATTTGGTAAATTTGTTTCTCTCATGGTCTGTGAGAGGTATAGGGTAGTCCCATATACATCTTTCTGTGTATAGTGCTTGTAACTTTACGAAGAATGGGCCAAATTTCTTATCATTTTGATGATTCCAGAACCTTGCAGATGCTAGATGCTAGATGATCAACCTTTTCTGATCGATTCCACGGCGTTTCTTTCACCATGCAATTCCATGACCAT